TTAATTCCACCTCTCTCATTGATGGTAAATCCAGATTTATCCAGCTAGCGGCTATACTTCTACGTGCGGCCAATAAAATTAAAAATATTAATTTCTGCGAATGGCAGGGTATACCTGCTATTGATTTCGATAGCAAAAATATCCAAGGATTGAGTTCTATATTTCCCTGTATTATCACTTGAATTAGCTCCCTTATTTCCTCCCAATAGCTTTTAATCTTTGGGCAATCCCACCACATGTGTAAATATGTCCCTTGTAAACCACATCCCCTCCAACAAAGATCCGTCAGATTTTTACCTATTTTGTACAAAAAAACAGGGGTCACATGCCACCTAAATAATATCTTAAACATTTGTTCCTGCGAGATTACACAAATCGATATTTTGGATGCTGTTTCCCAGATATCTATCCAATCCTTAGTTTCCAAAGAAGAACCTAAATCTGCCCCCCAGTAGGATATATACTTTAATGGAGCCCAAACCGTAGGTTCCTCACTTAGTTGATTATACAAATCAGAGATAAGACCTCCCTTTAACCTACCTATTTTGCACATTTTTTCAAAATTAGTGAAGGGGAATTTAACTGCCGTTTTTACCTCCATTGAATACGCAAAATCTCTAATCTGCAAATAACGAAAAAAATCTCCTGTCCTCAGTTCTACTCTGGTCAACAAACTAGAAAATAAAACTACCTCTCCTTCTGACCAAAGATCTACATATCTATAGATTCCTCCTGCCTTTAAGCCTTGAAAATTGTGTTCTTCCATACCAGGAATAAATTGTCTATTCCGAAAAACAGGGGTCATGGGTGAAGGGAAATTAGTTAGACCATATTTTAACTTAAGTTTATCCCAAATGTGGAGGGAGTTTGCCGTAGAAGGGCATATTTGTTTCAACCCTGGTCTTGAAACCTTATTCAATCACATATACAACCCTGGCGAGTCTGGTGTCATTAAATCTTCCTCCATATCCGCCCATCTGTATTTCCCTTGATTTGCATGCCAACCAACAATTTGAGCCAATTGGGCTGCGTAATAATAAATAATTAAATTGGGGAGACCTAGTCCCCCTTTAACTCTCGGTCTATACAAGAGAGTTCTAGCTATCCTATGTCGCTTGCCCTGCCAAATAAATGTGTCTATAGCTTTCTGAATACCCAATAAGTCCTCTTTACAGACCTTTATAGGCAATGCTTGAAATAGAAATAAAAGCCTCGGTAAAATATTCATTTTTATAGAATGAATTCTGCCAATCAATGAAATTGGCTTATCATGCCAATTCTCTAGGTCCTTTTTCAAAGTCTTAATCAAAGGTACATAGTTGTCATTAAATAATGTATTATAATCGTATCCAATTTTAACACCCAAATAGCTTAGAGATTTATCTATACTCATATCAAATTTAGTTTTTAGCTGGTCTTGTTCTATCTCAGATAAATGAAAAGGCACTCCACACGATTTATTATAATTGACCTTATAGCCTGAAATGGCTCCAAATTGTTCTATCAACTTAAACAATTCAGGGATAGATTCAGAAGGGTTTGCTATAGAGATTAAAATATCATCAGCATAAGCCGCTGTTTTATAAATCTCCCTCCCTATTTGAATACCCTGTATATTGCCACTTCCCCTGATATAGATCAGAAGGGGTTCCAATATAAGTGCAAACAAAATAGGAGAGAGAGGGCATCCTTGACGTGTGCCATTGTATATTCCAAACGGAGTATTAACTGAGCCAGGGAGCTGTATTGTTGCTTGGGGATTTGAATATAATGCACGGATTATAGTAATGCAATTGACTGGAAAGCCCCAATATTGAAGCAAATAAAATAGATAAGGCCAGGCGACCCTATCAAATGCCTTTTCTGCATCTAATGATAAAAGTATTGATGGTGTCTTCCCTACTGCCATAACCCAAGCAACATTAACTGCTCTACGTGTATTCTCATACAGCTGTCTACCTGGAACGAAACCTACCTGATCTGGATGAATCAGAAAAGGAAGTAGGGGAGAGAATCTCAGGGCAAGGACTTTAGCTATTATTTTTATATCAACATTTATTAATGATATAGGCCTATAATTTCCCACTGAAGAAGGGTCCTTATCTTTTTTTGGTAAAAGAACAATTTTAGCCATTGTAAGGTCGGCTGGAAGAACTCCGCTTTGACAAATTTCATCTATGACCTCTTGTAAATATGGCATAAGAGTGTGTTGAAATATTTTATAATAACTACTACTGAAGCCATCTGGCCCTGGTGCTTTACCCCCCTTAATAGAAAAGCATGCCGCTTTAATTTCCTCTAAAGATATTTTGGTCCCTAATCCTTCTAAGGCATTTTTAGGGATTTGGGGTAAATTTATCTTATTCAAAAATTCTCTCAGTCTTATCTCCTGATCTGTACCTTCTATATTCTCGTTTTTAAATTGACTATATAATCTAGAAAAATATTCCCGAAATACTCCATAAACATCCTCTGGTGATGATACTAATGACCCTGAAGCGTTTCTAATGGATGAGATAGGATTAAAATGTGTTCGTGGTTTTAAGCATCTGGCCAAAGGGGCGTCTATTTTATTAGCTTTCTCATAAAAATATCTACGTGATTTTTTTAACTGCCATACTGCTTCATCTAACAAAAGCTTTTTAATCTTTAATCTACATGCTTTTAAATCATATAGCGTTTGTTCAGTGGGAACTGTTTTATGTTTTTGTTCCAGCTTACGTAAACCTTTCTGTAACTCAAATAATGATTGTGATTTAATCTTTTTCTTATATGAGGCTATTTTGATCAATTCTCCCCTAATTACAGTTTTATGTGCTGCCCATAAAGTGGTTTTGCTAATTTCAGTCGTATTATTTTCTGAAAAATAATTTAACAATGCCTTTGTAATATCTGATCTCACTATGGGATCTTCCAAGAGAGAAGTATTTAATCGCCAAGAAAAATTGGGTTTAACTGATAATCCTTTTATATGTACAATGATATCTGCATGATCTGACCACGTAATATTGTTAATTTGTGAGCTATATAAATAGGGAGAAAGTGTTAAATTGGTCAAAAACATATCTATTCTAGAATACGTATCATGTGGATGCGAATAAAAGGTATAATCAAGTGTGTCAGGATGTTGAGCCCTCCATATATCAATAAGTTTATGAGTTATCATAAACTGAAAAAACTGTTTATCTTGTCCTCCCCTTCCCTGGGATCGCAATGTTCCCGGCTTATGACTTCTATCTATTGCTGGACAAGAAACTGCGTTACAGTCCCCACCTATCAAGACACAATCAAACGCTATGGAATCAATAATTTGGCCTATCGTATCCCAAAATCTATTATCTGGGATATTTGGGGCATATATATTCATTAAATGAAGCTTACGGGTGCCCATTATTCCAGACACTAAGATATATCTTCCTTCTTTATCCTGAATGGAATTTAAGACCTTAAACTGACATCTTTTATGGAACAAAATAGCTACTCCATTATGTTTTTGAATAGCATTCGAACAATACGCTCTATCATACCATTTATCTGTCAAGGATAATATATGAGATCTGTTAAGATGAGTTTCTTGCAAAAAAAACTATGTCCGCCTGCTTTCTCTTTAATTCCTTAAACATTATCTTCCTTTTAGCAGGTTTTACATTTAAGGAAATTATCTTCTCATCCATCATAATTCAACACCAATACAAGCAGATGTTTTGACCCAATAAAATAAACGAACCATATTAGCATATTGTATACCAAAACATGAAAATGAGGGGAGGAAGAGAAGAAAAAAACCAAAAAAAACGAAAAAAAAACACAACCATATATACATATATACACAATAAACACCTCCTGGACTTACCCAATGCCAGGAGTTAAATAGGGGGCACAGTTTTCCCAGGTCTACTTCGGCCTTGGGATAAACTGCAACTACTCCCATCAACCTGAAACCTAGATTTTTAAACTAATACTAGCAACTTGATTTTTCTTAACATAACATGGGTCCTCTTACACTTCCCTAAACGCCTCCTTAACACATATGAGCTGTCCTCGGACCCTATACAAAACCATTCAAAAACCAAAAAACTCCATTTTATCCTATAATACAACATTTTTACTGCTGAATTACTATTGAGATTTTATTTTTTATTTTTATCAAACGCATCATTTATAAAATACATACACCTATATAATATGCTTATTTCTTCTCATATATGCCTTACTATATTATTCCATGTATACCAATATGCAATAACTTAATCCCTTCACTTCCTTATTCTCCCCTTCACAATAACCATCAGTATATCACATTATATCCCACTTCCCCCCAACAAAAAAGAGGGGAAAAAAAATAAATAATAGATTAACCTAAATAAATGAAAATTTATGTCCTTTTAAGTTTGATTCTCTCTCGCATCAAACCATTCTCTGGGTAAAGTTGGTAATGGGGTCTTTTGTTGAAATAATGGTATTACTCCCTCTGGTGTATCCAGGCCCATTGTCTTAAAAAATCTACTTGGATCCCCCGTTGGTAATAAAGCTCTGGTTTGTTCATTATGAAAAGCAAGAAGTTTAAAGGGATGGCCCCATGCAAAGGGAATGTGATTAAGTCTCAGATGATCTGCAATCGGCTTCCATTGCCTTCTCTTTAAAAGAGTAGATGGTGAAAGATCTTGAAAAATCTGAAGCACCTTTTCTCTGTAAATAACCTCCATCCCCCTACATTTACGGACTACAGCGTCTTTGGTGCTATGGTAATGAAATCTCACGATTATATCTCGGGGTCGTTCATCATTCCTTCGTAGACCACCTGACAAACGGTGCGCCCTGTCAATTTCCCATCTGGGTTCAGGAATGTCTGGTAGTAAGGGTCTAAAGATTTCTAAAACCAAATTCTGTACCAGACCCTCATCTCTGGTTTCCGGTATCCCTCTAATTTTAATATTATTACGTCGGGATCGATTTATAAGATCCTCAAATGCCACTTCTAAAGCGTCAAGCCTTGTGCCTCATTCCGAGCTCTGGATTAATAAATCATTATGTGCTTTTGCCACAGCCTCTACCCTCACTTCTAGGGCGGCAGTCCGATTACCAATTGCCTGGATCTCTAATCTTATTTCCTTAGCATTTCTCTCAATCTCTCCGGCTAAAAAAATTCTACCCTCTTTCATTTGTGCCAATATACATTGTATGCCGTCTAATCCTGATGTCCGCATAATAGGTATAGAAATATTAGCTGTATCAATAGGTAACATTTTACCTGATCCTCCTTCTCCCAGGTCTGGATGGGTCTGGTCTAGATGGTCTGACTGGATCTCGTGGCTATCCCCATTTTTCCTGCCTTCCAGGCTGTTTGTTGTATCCTGGCAATTATTCACCATGTCAGTGCTATTCGCTGCTCCTGAAGCCGCTCGTTTTGTGGATTTTGCAGCGTCTTCATTTACATCCGCAGATTTCGCTGGCTGAAACATGGAGTGCATAGAATGTAGAGTGCTGCTCCTGGACTTCGGCTTAGATCCCTTACGTAAAGATTTCATCAGTAGCAAGCCCAGGAGGGGGTATAATACCCTTTCCCCCCCCCCCCTTTAAAAAAAAAAAAATAAAAAAATTCCTCCTCGTTAGAGATCTGCTAAAACGCTGCCCTGTTACACTGTTACAACAATATATGCCAATATGTAACAGTATGTAACAATATGTAACAGTGTACCAATATGTAATATGCAATGTGCAATGCGTAGCTGTATAGCAGTACTTTCTCTATAATTCACCCGCAGAGTAGAGGAAGATTAGGGGAGAGATTGAGTAATTGAGGTGAGTAAAATAGAGAATATAAACTGATATAATATAGCAGGTAGAGCAGGTATATTACCAGCTACCCAGCTATCTAACAGTCTAGCCGGCTATCTGACCGGCTGTGCATGCAGCTGCTCCTCGTCGGACAGGTAATTGAAAACTTCACCGGCTCAAATTAATTTTAAATGCTGAAGGGATCAAAAATAAATAAATAAGAGAGACAATATAGTATGCTGGATTTTCAATTTTTCAAAAAAAAAACCTTCGATGTCCAGATCAGGTTGTTTTCAGAGGCTTCTGTGGCTTCAGTGAAGGGAGCTCTCTGCCTGAACGTCTACCTACATTGATGGTCAGACGATTAAACGATCAGACCACACCGATTTAACCCCTTAAGGACACATGACATGCGTGACATGTCATGATTCCCTTTTATTCCAGAAGTTTGGTCCTTAAGGGGTTAAGGCTTAACATCAAACCTAATTTTTGTAAAACACACAAGGAGTTTTGTGCTAATTCGTATAAGATTCCTAATAAGTGCAGTTTAGATATTATAGCACTTACAATAGAAGGTTTACAACAAGAGTTGTTAGAAATTAATTGTCTTTTGGTTGATACTAAGAAGAAATTATTAGAGGGGGGAAAAAGAGCTGTGGTAGAAGAGAAACTATTAACAATCACATCCAAATTACCCAAGCATAAGGAGGAGGCATTGGGAAGGAAACTAAATAAATTCCGCAGAGATACTGTGGAATATTTGGAAGATAGGGTGTATTCTTGGCGAAGCCCTCGTACATCACGTAAGTTTTAGAATTATAAATAAGAACAATTACGATACAAGCTTATCGGATCCAGAAGGGACATCTGTTGAGTCTGACAGCGATCATCGTTTTTTAGGAGGAACACCAAGAGGAGACGCAGTAGGAGGACGAGAAGGTCTAGTCAGAAATACGGTGCTGACTACAACCGAACCCAGCATGAGGTATCCAGGGAGAACAAGACAACAGCCGATATGCTGGTAGTCAATATTTCTAGTAAATTGCTTTCCACGATGCAGGTGAGCATACAATAACAGGGCTTTGGGTATGTGCCCACATTTGGGGGTGATAAATTGACTGCTGATATTGAAATGGAACGTTTTTTTCGTTCAATCAGTTTAAAAAGTTTCTTTCATTTCAGGAGGTCCCTAATATTCATAAGGGATTAGAAAAGGCTGAATCTGCAAAATTTGAGCGTCAAAAATGCAGACCTAAAAGTAAATTCCTTCCTCCCTTGACAAATACAAGTGTGGAAACTTTTATAAAATTATGTCAGATGGATATTGACAAGATACGCTGGGACATGAAGAAGAAGCCGAATTTGAGTAAAGAGGAGTCTTTTACTCTGAAGGAATTAAGAAACGATAGGCCCACCTCTATAAGACCCACGGATAATGGTGGAGCGTTGCTAGTAATGGACACCAATAAATATACGGCTGAGATCGATTGCCACTTGGCTAATGCTCACCACTACAAAATTTTGGATAAAGATCCTACAGGTGTGTTACAGAAAAGCATAAGGACAATTACTGGGGCAGCACTTGATAGCGCATTAATTGAAAAGAGGGATTTCAATTTTTTAAATGTTGATAATCCTAAGATTCCATTTATCTATTTGTTGCCCAAGATCCACAAGGATCTAATGAACCCACCTGGTCACCCTATAGTTGCTGGGTGTGGATCTGTACTGCAGCCCTTGTCAAAATTTGTTGATATTCACTTACAATCTCTAGTGGTATGCTTTCCTTTGTACAGGACACCACAAATTTTATACGCAAATTAGAATTGACTGGTTATGTCCCTAGTGGCACCTTGTTGTGCACAATGGACATTAACAGCCTGTATACGTCCATAACCCATGAAGATGATATTGAGGCTGTATTTGGAGTCATGCAGCAACTGGATATTAGTGAGGTATACAGGAATTTTCTGGTGGAATTACTATCAAAAGTGTTGCACAGGAACTATTTTGTTTTTGGTGACAAGTATTACCTACAGGTACATAGGACGACAATGGGGTCCAATGTGGCTCCCACATATGCCAACCTATCTATGGCAGCATTTGAAGAAGCGTTTGTATCTCCTGACAGAGGATTTCAACAATACATTGGTATTTGGCTACGATATATAGATGATATTTTCTTTTTGGAGAACTGTTGCTTTTCAGGTTGGATATGTGTTTGGATACCATTTCTTTTATAATCGAATTTGATCCGTTCAGAATGCATTTCCTGGATGTTCTGGTTGAGGTAATCGAAGGACATCTATCGTTTGATTCATATGAAACACCCACTGACCGTACATTGTACCTGTATGCTAGCTCTTTTTATCAGTCACACTTTATCAAGCATTTGGCGTATGGGCAGTTTGTAAGGGTATGGCGGATAGTATTCAATGATATGGGCTATGACATGAGCGAATGAGTTAGTACAGACTTTTTCCTCCAGGGTATATGAGACCAATACGTTAATGGAATGCAAGGACAGGGCAAAACTATTATCCAGAGAACAATTACTGCAGAAGAAGATTGGGAATAAGAATGTTGGGATCCAATGTGTAATGACATATTTGACACACTCGTAGGAAATCAAGCATATTGTAAAGAAACATATATGGAGGATGGGGGATATGATAGAAACATTTAAATACATAAAGGGAATCAACACAGTAAAGGAGGAGACTATATTTAAAAGAAGAAAAACTACCACAACAAGAGGACATATGCTTAAATTAGAGGGACAAAGGTTTAAAAAATAATATCAGGAAGTATTACTTTACTGAGAGGGTAGTGGATGCATGGAATAGGCTTCCAGCTGAAGTGGTAGAGGTTAACACAGTAAAGGAGTTTAAGCATGCGTGGGATAGGCATAAGGCTATCCTAACTATAAGATAAGGCTAGGGACTAATGAAAGTATTTAGAAAATTGGGCAGACTAGATGGGCCGAATGGTTCTTATCTGCCGTCACATTCTATGTTTCTACATTGGAGGGTTTTACAATCAGATTTGAAGTTGTGTACATGTTTTAATGAGAATCCTTTGTTTTCATTCAAGAAACACAGGAACCTTTGTGACTATTTGATGCATAATGTTGACTTAGATGAGTGAGGCGAAAGGAATGAATTGTAGCTAAAGGTCTGTATCACTGTGGACACTGCATACATTATAATGGAGTGATTACGGGTAGAGTTGAGCGGACACCTGGATGTTCAGGTTCGGCCGAACTTTGAAAAAAAGTCTGGGTTCGTGATCGAACTTGACCCCAAACCCGAACCCCATTGAAGTCAATGGGGACCCGAACTTTTGGGTACAAAAATGCCTCTAAAAAAGTCCTGGAAAGGGCTAGAGGGCTGCAAAAGGAAGTAAAATGGAGGTATGAGTAGGACAAGTGCCCTTCAAACAAATGTGGATAGGGAAATCACTTAAAATAACATAAAAATAAAAAATACAGCTGAGCCATAAAATAGCACTAGATGGAATCTTTGATTTTAGCTTTGGAATAACATAAATCAAAATCTAAAGCATGGCTGTCAGGAGGATCACCAGAATTTGAGAGAGGGTTGGAGTGCAGGGTATTCTCTTTCATTGTTTAAACTGAGCTCAACTCCTGATTCATGGAGAAAAGGCCTTTCTGCTATTGTGTACATAGTTTATACTAAGTAACCCATAGTTTGAGGAGGCGGTGACCATGGCAGTGTAGGTGGAAGCGGCGGTGGAGGAGGAGGAGGTAGCCTACACTGTTTTTTTTATATATTTTTTATTTTATTTTAATTGGGGTAGCCCCCAAAATATTGGGACATATAAAAAAAAGAAATATTTGCGGCCTGCGGTGCATTTCTTGCAGTCCTGATGCATGGAGAAATGCTCAACTCCTGATTCATGGAGAAAAGGCCTTTCTGCTATTGTGTACATAGTTTATACTAAGTGACCCGTAGGTTGAGGAGGCGGTGACCGTGGCGGTGTAGGTGGAAGCGGCGGTGGAGGAGGAGGAGGTAGCCAACACTGGTTTTTTATATATATATTTTTTATTTTAATTGGGGTAGCCCCCAAAATATTGGGACATATAAAAAAAAGAAACAAACATGTGCGGCCTGCGGTGCATTTCTTGCAGTCCTGATGCATGGAGAAAAGGCCTTCACAAGCCTCTGCTATTGTGTACATAGTTTATACGAAGTGACCCATAGGTTGAGGAGGAGGTAGCCAACACTGTTTTTTATATATATATATATATATATATATATATATATATTTATTTTAATTGGGCTGGCCCCCAAAATATTGGGACATATAAAAAAGAACTCTGTTCTGCAGAGTGACTGACCCGTGCGTGCTTTAGCTGAAACTCCACTATCGCCTGCTGCAGCTCACACAGTCTCATGAGGCGGTGAGTTACGCTGCAGCGCAGACAGGCGAGCAGCAGCAGGGTGAGAACGCCAAAAGCGCGCATAGCCGCTACAGTGCACGGCACATACTGTTTCAAGTTGCGGATCAGTCTGGTGATGGCTTCTGGTATCCAGTACTCTTTTTACTGAAGCTGCATCAAGGTCCTGGTATGTGGCCGCACAAACACTGGTGCTCAACACCAGGGGGCGTGCAGTTACCCTGCACCAGACCCTGCTAATCCATTCCACACTGTGACTCCTAACATCTGCATCAGGCATACTGGGTCATGGTCATCTGACCGCTGCCCAGACAGTGTCTGGGTCCCGGT